AATGAATTTACTGCTTAATTCTCTCTTCCAGGTTTGTAGTCATTAATCCAAATTTACAACTGGGGCTTTCTTTTTTTTTTTTTCCCTTTTGTCTGGCAGTGCTGAGGATTCAACCCAGGCCTTTCACACTAAGCTATAACCCCACTCATGTTTTAATTTGACCAGTGCCTCACTAACTCACTAAGTTCCTCAGGCAGGGACCAAATTTACAATCCTGTCTCAGCCTCCTAGAGTGCTGGAATTATACATATGCACTACACTGCTCAACTCTGAGGCCATCTTCTATATACTGTAAGAGAAGCTGTTCTTGTCCAGTTCTTGCAAAAGCAATTTATAGCTTCATTCTGTCATCTAATCATGAGATAATTTATATAAAACAAAAGATCACATGAAGCACAAAAGCTGAAGTAATGAAATATTTTTAGTCCTACCAGCACATGCATGAGATGATAGACTGATCTGAACAGCGTGTCAGATTTTTTACCATACCCTTCCATCTGAAGATGCTCCCAGAAGAGGCCTGGTCAGCAGGACGGCCATGAGCAGATCAGACGGCCAGTGAAGGCCACGCCACCATGGCAGTGCAGCTGCTCCGAGCCCAGCCCTGCACCACCTGGAGAAAAAATTCCTGGAAACACTGTGTTTGCGGCCCGGCATAGGTGTCTGCTCTCCAAGGCCATCCCTGCTTGCTGGGGATATCGCACCCACAAAATAATCTTCGCACATCTAAGAAGCAAACCTTGGAATCACAAAGTATCTCATAAAACTATGCCAACTACTCCTCTCCATAAAACTAACTCATCACAAAATTAATACCAGGCTGGGCACAGTGGTGACACTTCTCAGGTCCTGGGGAGGTTAAGGCAAGAAAATCCTAAATTTAGGTCAACACAGACAACTTATTGAGACCCTGTCACAAAAGCGGAAGGTGCAGGGGACTCAGCGCTCCCTTGGTTCAATCCCCAGGATATGAAAATAAAATAATGACTGCGAATCATAGATAATTACACAGATTGAACACCCTTACTCCTAGAATCAACTCCTTCAAGATCTGAAACTTGAGAGTGTCAGTGTGATATCCTAAGTAGAAAATTCCACACCCAAACTCATGTGACAGGACAAAATCAAAACACGGGCATAAAACTGTGTAAAATTACTTTCAGACTCTGCAAATAATACATGAAATATTAAACAATATTTGTATCTAGACTGGGGACCCATCCCAAAGTTATTCATTATGCCTGTAGTTACAAATATTCCAAAACCCAAAATATTCTGGCCCTAAGCATTGTGGATAAGGAATACTCAAACAGCACTTCCCTGTGATGCAGCACTGTTCTTCGCATATTACACTTGGTTAGTGTATTTCTCAGAGTTCTACAGGACAGTTAATACAACAGGCCATGTGACTGCCTTCATGGTACAGATGTGTCACAAAAGCCAAGTAACCTGACCAAGTCACACAGTTAGGTAATGGTAAAGCTGGAATTCAGGCCCAGGTGGCCAAGGCAGAAATAGCCATAAAATCCTAAGTGGGGCAACCTCCTCATGGCTGAAGTATTTCCACTGAGCTTTGGCTATTTTCTGAGCAATACACACACCTTTTTCCTTTAAATGCCTTGTCACAGACCCTTAGGACCTTTTAACCAAAATATACTGATAAATTACTAAAGCAGGGATAATTAAGATTATTCAGACTACACGGCACCCATTTCTACAAATCTTTTCTCAATGAAAAAGCCTCACTGGCCACTGAGTAGCTATGAGCTACAACCTTCCCTTCTCCAAAAGGAGGAAGTCAAAAGACAGGAGCAGGATAGGCTTAAGATAGAATAAAAATGCTACATATCCTGGACCTCTGACATAAAAAGCCTGGGCTGATCACCCACCGTGAGAGTTCTGGCAAGCTAATCAGCACATGTTGGCAAGTCCTGAAGTTGTCCTGCCCTGGGCCTACACCAGAGAATTGCAGCATAAGAGCGGAATTGCTAAAAATAGAACATGATTTTCAAATGTAAGCCCAATAACAATACATGGGCTTTCATATAAATTATAATAATCAAGCTGAATGTGGTGGCTCATGCCTGTAATATAAGGTCTTGGGAGAATGAAGTGAAGGATCACTGTGAGTTCAAGGCCAGCCTGTAATATATATTAAGACCCTGTCTCAAAATAAATGAATTATAATAATCAAGCCATGTGTGGTGGCACAATCCTGTAACCTCTCTTCTTTGGGAATCTGAGGCAAGAGGAGCACAAGTTTGAGCCTAGCCTGGGCAACTGAGCAACTTAAGGAAACCACTATCTCAGAACAAAACAAACAAAAAAGAGCTGGGGATATAGCTCAGTGCAAAGGGCCTGGGCTCAATTACCAGTACTGCAAAATAAGAAGAAAAAGGAGAGGGAAGGGAAAGTGGAAAATGAAGTCACATCTATATGATCCCATACTGCTACAAGCTGTACACCAGCACACTTACACAGCACTTGGACGTACAACTACAGCACAGAGATCTGCTGTTCACAAAGATGAAACAAAGGATACATTTTATGTTCCGTCTAATGTGAATGTGAAGTATGTTTTATGGCAATATAATTATCTGAACATAATCCATCCTCAATGTTATGCAGTTTTAGTTTCCATTAACTCTATAATTAATGACTACACTCAACACTTTTATAATCTTCACAAAAATACAAAGGAAGCATTAACACAGTTGTTTTTAAAAATCAGAAAACAAAGGCTCCAAGGGTCAAGTGTCACCCCCAAGATTACACAGCCAGAGAGTGGCTGGGAAGAACACAGCCTCATTAAGATGGACATCAAAACCATATTTTTAAAAATGTAAATCAGTAGAGTTCCCCAAATGCAACATGCACTCAGATCCCTACAGCTGTGCACTCCTACAGACCTCCCATGCCCTCTGCTCCCAGCTCAGCACAGCTGCTGTCCTCAGAGAGGGTGGGCACTCCCATCAGAGGGCACACTGCTCAGGTGCCCTTCCTGTTTCACTCTGTGCTCCTGGAGGACAAGTATGTGGTCCTGTTTTCCCCAACATCTCCGCTGGGCCCGAGCTGCAGCAAGTCGCAGTAACTGTTTAAGTGAGTAGCTAGTGACAAAGCAACTCTACAGTCCACAGAGCCTACGTGCAGTCCTTTTAAACAAACCTACCGTCTCCCTGAGGGGACTCAGGATCACTAAACATTAACTTCATGGTATAAGTAATGGACAGAGCTGGCTGGGCATGGTGGTGCACACCGGTAGTCCCAGCATTTGGGGGCTGCGTCAGAAGGAACGGTGTGAGTTCAAAGTCAGCCTGAATTACACAGGCAGACTTGCCTCAAAAAATCAAAAAACAAATGACAACGACAATGAAGACGAAAATGAAGACGAAGATGAAGATGAAGAAGAAGGGTAACAGGTAGAGCAAATGGCCAGACTAAGAAGAGGACGGATATTTGTGAAAACATATCCATGCTAGCCATTGTTGATGGCTAATTCAGATGGTCAAGGTTTTTTACTTAAAATATTCTTCTCTTTTACAGCAAACTAAATAGAAAAAATTTCAAATTCTAAGTTTTCTCTTACCAAGCTAGTTTTCTACAATGTTTCTTTTTCTTTTTTCTTTTTTTTTTTTTTTTTTTTGCATAGAGGAGTGAATTTTATTTTTATTTTTATTTTACTTTTTTCCATAATTTTATTGAGAAACTACAATGTTTCTTTTAAATGTATAATTGTCCCATTTTCTATAAAGCATGCTGAATGCTTAAAAACTTTCTAAACTTCAAGATATTGGGCCGGTGAGATACCTGAGGGGACTAATCACCTGCTTAGTACAGGGACTGAGGTTTGAACCCCAACACTATAGGCCCACTGAGTGGGCCACCGAGACCAGGTATGGGGGCACATGCATGTCATACCAGAGCTGGAGAGGCTGAAAACAGGAGGATCACTATTAGTCAAAGCTGGGAGACTGCATGCCAAATACATTTAAAGAAGAAAAAAATTCAAGATATTCTTTAGACTCTTATAAAATGAGATTAGGTATATTTAAATGGAAAAAGAATCCAGGGCCAGGGGCCAGGAAGATGGCTCAGTAGAATAAACACTTGCCTGGCAAATGCAAGGGCCTGAGTTCAATCCCCAGTTCCACCAAAAATCCAGGGACAAATACAATAATTTTAAACTTGTCTCAATTTTGTTTCTCTGAAGTCTCACATTCACTGTAACATATTAATTTTTCTTGGGAGTCACTGAAGCTGGAAATTGGTCAAATGTGTGCGGGAAGGACAAGGCTTTATAGTACCTAAAGCAGTCAAGCTACCTCCGTCCTGACAAAAACACCCTGCCTCCTCAAGGTCAGCTATTGGTTGCGAGGCAACCTTGTGTCACAGGATGCTAACTTTGCAAAGGCATAAATAAAGGCCCCTACTGTTGTTCTGGTGTCCTTCTGCCAATCAGGCAAACAGGCCTGCACCTGACCCCGCTCTTGTCTTCTTATTTATCTTTTCCTCATTCCCACTGCTGTCTCGCCCTGGAATTTATCAAGAGACCAATGAATCTCCACAAATTTTACCTTTGAAAAGAAGTGGCAAATAATCCACGGTAAAAGGCAAACAAGCAGAGTATAGTAGTGCATGCTTCTAATACTAGCATCTGGGAGGCTGAGACAGGAAGATTCCTTGAGTTCAGGCTTACCTAGATTTCATAGTGAGTTAAAGGTCACCTTGGGCTACACAGTGAGACCTTATCTCAAAAACAAAACAAAACAACAACAACAAAAAAAAACCAATGAAGTCAATATAAAAGGTAGGTTAAATAAAAAATCAAAGGAAAAACAGAGAAAGAAATCTTCTGAATGAACCATTCAAGCAAAAGAGAAAAAAGAAAAAAGACTGGAGGGGAAAAATCTTAACCACTGAGAGATGGGTTTTCTCCTGGTTGCAGGTAAGAACAGGAAAGATTCTGCCTATCCTCGAATCAAAACTCAGAAAATACTCACCTGTGTTGTTCTGCGCAGCAGTTGCATAGGAAAACAGAAATAATCTTTTAAGTAGCTTAGGAGCCTGGGTATGGTGAATTATCCCACTGACAATCTAGGAAAGAACAGACCAAAGGATAGGGTATGCTATTGACAAAGGAAAGGTAGAAGCCAGTCATGCTAAAGATGCTCTGAGGACAACACAGCAACCTCTGTTAAGGTCAGGATCTGTGACTGAGACTTGGAATCAAGCTAGACTGAAAGAATACTATTTCGTTAGCCTTTCTAAGAGATCTGAACTTCTAGGAAAAACTTTAAAAAATAACCTAATTTCTTAAAAACAACCCAATATGTGCTAGACTTACAGCTGATTAGATAATAACCAAGACACTCAGCCCTAGTTGCAGCTTTTAGTATGCGGATGATGAAGAATCACTGGTCTATCGCACTTTCTTTTTGTCTACTATGCTAAAGTAGTCTCTGGACGACGACTAAAACCATTGTTCAAAATGAAGTATCTGCCTTCTCAGGAAACTTTCTCTACCTGCATCACTTTTCAAGCTCAGAACAGACACTGGAGTCATGTTCATTATTATAACAGAACTCTCATACATATGAAAGAAAACTGCATGTACTGGCCACCTGCTAGGTTTCTCCTAGTGATTTACCAAAAGGGGCAAAAATTACCTTAGTGAAAGAATTTTTTTTTTTTTTTTTGTAGATAAGGTTTTGCGGGGCTGGTGAGATGGCTCAGTGGTCTAAAGTACCTACTTAGAACAAGTTTAGCAAAGCACAGGGACCGCGGTTCAATCCCCCAGCACCACATGCCAGTCAGCCCTGCCCCCTGGTGGGCTGAGCTGGCCACACACACACACACACACACACACACAATAAAATTAAAAAAAAGATAAGGTCTTGCTATTACAGTTCAGGCTGGCCTTGAAATCACTACCACACATAGTCCAGCCTGGTCTCAATCCTGCCTCAGCCTCTTCAGGGCTGGCATTACAGGTATGCACCACCACACCTGGCTGAGAAATCATGAAGTTACCCGAACATTAAATTCATACAGCTGCTGTCTGAGTTCCTCCAGGCAGAGCTCAGGCTGCTGCGGCAGTCGCAGGCGATTATGTTTACATGGCCGCCAAAGGTACACCTGTAACTTGGCTGTGCTCGCCCGACCGCGTGCCGCCTCCTGTGCACAAGCATTACCTCCCAGTGATAAACTGAGATGGAAGTCAGCACTGCTCTGGGGACGGGCTGTCAGAGATGAGGAGGCTGGATAACTTTAGGTGTCACTCCCTTCTCTCTGTTCAACTTCCTTCTGACTTGGCTTGTACACGTCCACCCTTTAGTGGCTCTAGTAATAAAAACATTATAAATTGCAGGATTAAAGGTGTCGGTATCAAGACGATACCCTGGCTTGGTTTACCCGGCTACCACTCACACTCTAATCACACAATAGAGGATTACAACCAATTCCAATTTCACACAGCACAAGGCTCCTGTTCCCCTCGCTCCTCTCTATGTTCAGGCAAAGTAAGCAAAAGCTACAATCAATGGGGAAACCCTGATGGAAAACACATGCAGCTAGTTACCCTTTTGACTTCTTCTTCTTTTGTGTACCTCAGACAGAAATGGAACACTCGGAGGTCTTTGCAGTGAATGATGAGTTTCTCAGGGTATTTCTTCAGTTGTCCAAAGAGAGTTTTTTTTTTCTCATCAAACACTACAGATTAAAAAAACAAAAAACAACACTACAGATCAATAACAAAATCATGGAGAGAAATTATGTTACACAGAAACAAGTAATGCTAAAGAAACAAAACAGACTGCTAATTTCCTCTAAGGGTAAGAACACAGTCCCTCCCAGCAGGGCTCCCCAAGAGCAGTCAGGGTGGTTCACTCCTCTTTAGGAAGCATGCAGTTCAAACAGACTGGCTGCTGTCTATAGAACGGACTCTAAAGGCCTGCAGAAAATCCAGGTCAAAAAGCTGAGATAATAAAAGAGTAGAAGGGAGAGGGCTAGGAACATGCTTTCCCACTAGTCAACTCCTAGGTTTATAGCTAGGGACCCTCAGGATACTTCCTTGCTTTCCCAAAGTTTGGACCCAACTCAGTACCTTCTGGTATTGAGAAAGCAATAAATGGCTACTGAATTAATTTTTAAAATGCCCTGAACACAAAAATGGGGAAGAGGAACAGAGAGAAGCTTGGAAGGAGAGGCTCATTTCATGAGCGAAGACATCCTAATGTGAACACAATAGGCCTTTACATACTACCCTTTAAAGCACAGCCTACACAGCCACCATGGGTGGAAAAGTCTGATCACCAGCTGCTGCCATATGAGCTTGTTAAAAAGTTCAAGTTCCAAGCTCAAGTTGGAACTCTGCCAGTGAAACAACCTCAAGTACGCTATTCCTCATCTCAATGTGTCATCCAGAAAACAGATTTAAACAATACATTTTAATAAACTATAAAAGGCCACAAGAACATTTTCATCATTAATTGTGCATTCCACAGACCAAGGATGGCAATGACCCCAGAGAAGAGTGACTTACCTCCATAAATCTGATCAACACAGTGAAGGGTAATGTCATTTTCTCCTATAACCTTATTCTTAAACTGAGCTTCCTAAAAGATTCAAAAGAAAACAACTGTGACTCCTTTCAATACTGTTAGACATTTATAAGCAGAGCAGATTATCATTTTTCTACTTGCATGCCAACACGAACTGGGAAATGCACCCTAAGAATGGGAAGTCTGAGAACGCAAGAGCTCACTGGTATGAGCACTGGTATTCCAAAGCTGAGGAGATGCCATTTCTGGGCCAGGCAAACCCGCCAGGCCACCAACCCAAGTCACTGGCAAGTGGGAAGAAGTGACATGCAGTTTAACATTTCTTCATATAAATGCAAAAGGGCGACCAACTGAGCTGCTGGGGCAATTTCAAGTCTCTGCTCAGGACTCGGGACAATGGCAGCAGCACAGTAGGCCAGACACAGAAAGAGCAGCAACAATGCTGGTTTGGGAAGCTGGAGGAAGGGGATACAAAACAGCAGACACACCGCACCAGAGGGGCCACTCTAAGTGGGCACAGCTCTCACAAGAACACTGCTATGGGCTCAGAGCAAAGAGAGTAAACCCGATTTCAAAGGTCACCCTCATCATGAGTTTCATTACTGAGGAAGAATTTAGGACAGAAAAGCCATAGGGAACAGGAACTAGTATATTTGGAAAGATATTATTCCAATGGGTGACTTATACTGTGTTGAAATAGAGGTAGTGCTAACCTATGAGGGCAAAAGCAAGCCAGCCTCACATGAGGCACAGGAGGGAAACTGCTGAACAGTCCTACAGCTGACAGAGGGCTTCTGCCTTTTGTATTTATATGTTGAGGGGAGTGAGGTAGAAGAACTATGAAATTGAGGGAAAATAGCAACAAAGCCCCAACTACACCATTCCCTCCAAACTCAGCCAAATCCAGCTCATACGTACACCACTGTCCAAGGCAGACTCATCATCGCTCAGGAAGGCAATCTTGAAGTCTGTGCATACGAGTCTCCCATAGGTGCCACGCTGACAGGAATCCTCCTGCACGTACTTCAGGACTGTGCTGGCTTCACAAAGCAGCTGTTCACCTGGGGAAACCAAAGCAAGTCCTCCGTAAGTCCTCAGGGAGCACGCAGTGCGTAAACACCAGATCTCTCCTGCTCTGTTTACCTAGGAACAAATGCACAACTCCAGGAAACACTTTAGAACACACCACTTTCCAGAGTGGCAGGTGCTGCAAAATGTAGGAGAGCAGAGGAAGCAGAAGAGATAGCACAATAGTTGAGAGAACCCTTCAGGCAGTGACTTATCTTCTTGCTCTAAATACAGTGATGGAAATTTCCAACTAGGTGGTAATGATCTCAGCTGCACTTCCCGGCACAGATCCTCATGTTTTTATTACTTTGACCTGAGCTGTTGCAGAACAGCAATACCCTCAACAAGCAAAGCTCCCACAGACCCCAGCCCCTCTTCCTGTGTCAGCCTAGGGCTTGCAGGCAGCTTCCTCTGACCCGAGAGCTACTACAGATCTTCACAACAAGACTACCTCATTCTGGCTGCACACTATGAGGATGAGAGGAAAAAGGAGGTTAGAGGCTCTGGGAGGGGTGATTTCCTTGCTTCAATGAGAGTATTTCCTTTCAATGTGTCACCTTTCCTGCCCCATCTGTAAGTGGCCGGCCCACATGAGAAGCTACAGCTCCTGCAGACAGTATATTTCTCTCTACTGTCAAAAAAATTAAGACTGGAGACAGATAAGCACTCTCTGCTGCCTGGAAGCAAAGCAGCTTGCCATGCGGGGACATCTGGGTTGCAGCAGGAAAAAGAGGAGGACAATAGGAAATGAAAAACTAAGCGTGAATACTGCGCGACAGAAAAGGGATTTTCTTCTCATCCAATAGATAACATTATTTCCCTCAGGATTGCTCTATCTTTAAATTTATTTAGCTAAGGTCTCTATCTTCAAATTTATCTAGCTAAAGTGGACATGATGGTACATACCTACAATCCGGTACTCTGAGAGGCTGAGGCAGAAGGATCACTGCAAGTTTGAGGCCAGCATGGACTACACAGTAAGTCTAAGGCCAGCCTGAACTACAGTGAGACCCTGTCTCAGAAAGAAAGGAAAGGAGGGAGAGGGAGGGGGAGGGGGGAGAGCGAGACTGAAATTGAGAGAGGGAGCAAGGAAGTTTATGAAAAAGTCAGCAGACAGGATTTTCCATATATGGTATGGATATTCCATCAAGCAGTTTCTGTTCCTGAACTTGTAAGGTGGTCAAAACCTAACTGCAGCTCTTGTCACTCTCTTTGGTCTCAGAAATAATCCAGGGGCATTCTCTTAATGAATAGAATGATTTTTTCTAATGGTGTTTGTAAATAGGATCACAAGTCCGCATCTTGTACAGCAATTAACCACTAAGAAGAATATATGCAGTGTATTATTTGTTGAAACTGTACTTCCGATTTGATTTGAAACTGTCTCATTGCTATCTGTTTATCAATAAAACTTTGAAAAAAAATTAAAAAAATAAAAAATAAAAATAAATAAATAAATAAAATAGTTGATTGTAAAAAAAAAAAAAGAAAGAAAGAAAGAATCCAGGGTCCTTCATACTAAATGAGCTCAAAGTAAAACCCTGATGGCCATATGGTTGGCAAATGCCAGCAGCCCTGGTGCCAGGGTTCAGATGCACCAGTAAAGACCAAAAGGTGAGGCCACCCACCAACAGATGCCTGGGTGCTCTGTCCAAGGACAACATGCACGGCCAACAGGGAGAGAGTATGTGGCGTAGGCCTCCTCAAGGAGCTGCAATTTTCCTGACTAAAATGGGCGAAGTAGGACAATCTGAAAAGGCCTTATTTTGTTTGTGAAATAGTGAGAATTTCTCAGGTTTATTTTTATCAGCTTGAAGGACAGCTAAACAAGAAAAATTCTTTCCAGATGTTATAACACTCAGAACCAGGTGTGAGTTATTGAATTAAAAACCTTAACATCTTTGTCCAATTCATTACTGTTACTTGCCAGAGGATGAAACAAAAGAATTTATATATAGCAATTCTAAGGATGACATAATGCATCAATCACTGACTCTGAGCTACACACAAGGTATGATGCTAACATGACTGTTACCTGGCAACAAGTGAAGAGTGACTTCCTTCTCAGCTACTTCCTTTTCATTTGTGTGAATTTCCTAAAAAGGAAGAACAAAGAAAGGGTCATGCTTTCCTTTAAAGGCTCAAAATAACATAAAAGCACGCTTTGTGAATACACACAAAACCATCACACACGCAAGAGCTTTGTGTTTATTTGACAAGCTGCTTTTTAAAAACATGTTCTTAATCAAAGACAGACAATTCTAACAAGTTAGGAACAATCAATGTATTAAACTAGGTGCAGTACTGTATTCAGAAGGCTGAGACAGGAGGATCACTGTGAGTTCAAGGCCAGCCTGGACTACCAGTCTACATAATGAATTCAAGAAAAGCTTGAGCTACAGGGCAAGACACTGTCGCAACAAAACAAAACAAAAGCCCAAACCCCAAACCATAAAAAAACCACCATAAACTAACTACTAACTGTCCCCACCATAGGGTAGGAGTGGGCCTCCCTCATGTAAAGGAACAGGTTGAGGTGACACAGAGAAAATGCCAACAGAAGATGCGCTCCATCATAATTTTTCCCTCCCTCCATTTAGAATCAAGGTTTGGAAGCAAAAGTGACTGTATAATCTTGGCTTTCTTATTTTCTCTTTTTTGAAACAAGGTCTTGCTATGTAGTTCATGCTGGCCTTGAACTCCATGGGATCCTCCTGCCTCAGCCTCCCAAGTACTGGGATTATAGACATGCACCACCACGCCCACCAATTGTGTGTTCTTGGCAGAAAAGGTTTAAAGACAAAAATAGGAATATGTGAGTGTATCTATGAGTACAAATCCATGTACTCCATGGAACATCAAGGCTCAGTAAAGACAGCTACAACATCCACTGTCCATTCCCAGCACTCAGGAGGTTGACGCAAAAGCATCATTGTGACTTTGAGGCCACCTTGGGCTACAAAGTGAGCTCAAGGCCAGCCTGAACTGCATAGCAAGACCCTGTCTCAAACAAACAAAATCTAACTGGAAAATTCTATAAAACACAACCAGTTTTGTGAACAAATAAACTGATTTATTTTATTTTATTTTAGGTAGGATCAGTTTTATAACTATATTATTTTGGACCACACTATAGCATTAGGAGAAACCTGAGGATAGTTGGGGAAGAGAAAAAACAGCCTATCTCAAGGCTGAAATAGAATGTCATGGCTTTTCCAGAGAACTCATCCTGAACATGACCCACTTGGAGCTGCCTATGATTTCCACCCCAGGAGATACCTCTGGGGCGGCGCTTCTCACACCTCAGGTAGGTACAGTGTGCTCGGGAGCATGTTATTATAGATACTTACTGTACATACTGTCACAAGCCTAGGATACAGCCCGGGCCTCAGGTCTCGTAGAAAAATCCCCTGCTAATCCCAATGCACTGCTGTGGGATTTAAGCAAGAGGAACTGTTCTTGCATATGTAAATGCTGAGTGTTTTGGTAATTTAGAAATTCTCACTGATAGTTTTCTTTATGTCACTGGCAAAGAACTAAATTAAAGCACAATTATTTTTGACAGATTCTATCATCCTTCTCTGAGGAGAGATCAGAGCTATTCATTATATTCAAGCAGCAGTTGGAAAACTACAACAATCATCCTGATTAGTGCTTGGAATTCAGTCCAAATACTACAGCCAGCTTGGGGAAAGCCAGCCTATTATACGAGCACTAGTATTCCCATCTGCATTTATTCAAAGCTACCTGTTTTAGTTTTTTAAATGGTCAGTGAAATTCTTTCTTTATATTCCAGGATCAAAATACCACAGAGCTATCTTTAGGACCCCGCCCAAGCCCTTCCCTCAGACCCCTGGTTCCCCGGGCCCACAACTTCTTGCAGTGAACCATCTCACTGCCAGTCCAGTGCCCGGCAAACTGACCAGCACAGTGTCCCCAAGCATCACATTAACCAACTCGCTGCTCCTGCTAATTTGCCTGGAGGGCTCAGAGATGTAATCAAGCTGGCTCCTTAAACTAGACTTGTAAACCAGGCCACAAATGGGGGCGAGGGGGAGGTCAGAGAAAGCTCTTCTGCCCAGAGTAATACACAGAAAAAGGATAACAGAAAGAATGAAAAGATAACAGATAAAGAATGAAAAGTGCAAACACTCCTTTTCAAGATAAATGCATGCTCTCAGACACACAAACAACCATGGCTTGGACTTCCATGGCTTTCCAGACTTTTGTGAGGCACGTCTTTGGCGCAAAGTTCCATGAGTCAGATCTGTATTTTTATAATAAATTCCCTTGTGCTTGCTCAAAGAAGCGCAGGGTCCAGGGTTCGATCCCTGGTGCTGGTTGCCCTGCCGGCCCCGCCCTCGGGTGCACTGAGCCAGCGATGGAGTCCGGGCGAGGTGGCGAGGGCCTGTAATCCCAGCCATGGGGAGGCAGAAACCAGGAGGATCGCTACAACCTAATTAGTGAGACCCTGCACCAAAAAAAAAGGAAAAAAAAACAACCCTCAACAGCTTTCGAGCTGTTGGTTTTAAATAAATAAATTCCCTTGTTAGCAGTTACTTTCCTTATCCTCCCTTTGCCAACCATTCTAAAGCTGAAAAAAAAGCCACACTTGATGACTTGACGTGGTGACACACACCTGCAATTCCAAAAGGCTGAGGCAGCAGAACTGCAAGTTCAAGTCCAGCTCAGGCAGTTTAGCAGTTTAGTGAGATCCTGTCTCAAAACTTATTTTAGGGCCTGGGGAGATAGCTCAGTGGAGTAAGTGCTTGCCTGGCAAGCACAAGGTTCTGAGTTCATCCCTGATGCCACCAAAAAAAAAAAAAAAAAGTTTTAAAGGGGGGGGGGGGCGAGGAGATGGCTCAGTGGAATAAGCGCTTCCCTGGCAAGCACAAGGGCCTGAGTTCAATCCTGGTTTAGCTAAAAAAATAAAATAAAATAAAATAAAATAAAATAAAGGGGGAGGGGACTGGAGACACAGCTTGGTACAAAGTCCCTAGGTTTGGTCCTTGGTACTTAACCTCCACTCCCCAAAACACACACTTAAATGTGTGCCAAATAACCTTTCTTTAGATTAACAGAATCCAGAATATCTGCTAAATTTGAGAATAAAGATGCTTAACATGCAAAAGAATAGTTGTAGACTGAGCGTGGTGTTGTGTGCCTGTAATCCCAGCTCTTGGGAGGCTGTAAACAAGTGGTTCACTACAAGTCCAATCCAGTAGTGAAACCCTGAACACCCTTACACCTCAAGACCCTTCCCTAAAATACAAAAAAAAAAAAAAAAGTATAGCGAAGATGGCCATAGAGAATATAAATAACAATATACAGGTTGAAATAATAGGCAAATTATAATAACTAAAAAAAAAAAAAAAAGTAGTTGTGTTTGTCTAAAGTACAGGAGCTAATGCGGAAGCATGCAAATAATTCTACCACATGGAAGGCTGAAGCAAGGGGATCATAGGACATGAGACCCTGTCTCAAAAACAAAACAGTACCGCAAGTAGCCGCAGCAGGTTGACGCTGAGCTTAAGGTATCCTGACCAAAGAAAAAGCACACAGTTGCACTACACCTCCTGTCCACCTTGAGAGCAGTGCTCTGAGGGTGACACCTTTTTAAGACTGGCCCTTGGGACCGGCGAGATGGCTCAGTAGAATAAGCACAAGGGCCTGAGTTCAATCCTCGGTTCCGCAAAAAAAAAAAAGACTGGCCCTTAAATACTTTCCTTCCCACCAGCACTCACCTCCAGGGGTGGCTTTCAAGAAGCAAGCGGATGGAAACGGATCTGGTAACAGAGAGACCAATGGGGAGAAAAGAGAAGGAAAAATGTTTAAGCCAGTCCTACAAGACTGGCAAGTCTGGAATGCACAGGAGTTTAGTAAGTGGGCAGGCAGAAAGAGAAGAGGAAAGAATGAAAAGTGCAAACACGCTGCAGTATTATTTCCAGACAAGCGAGAAATACAGCCAAGGCTGGACACGACCTAGAGATCGGCATGCTCTTTATAGAAGTTGGGCTTTATCCTGTGGGCAACAGGGAGGAAACATCAGGCAGAGGAATGAATATACACATATTATTCACTATCTCCAGTAAACACCTTTCAGGAAAAATCACAGGACAAAATCAGGAACCTCAGTAGGCCTTAGCTTTAAGCCGTGGTTGCACTGCCCCACCTGAAGGAAAGGAATGAAAAGCTGAACTGCCGATCTTCAATATCACACATGAGACTCCAACATGCTTTTAACTTTAATAGCCAAATGGTGGGCATGTTGACACGTGCTCTACCCCAGCAGTCAATAGGCTGAGGCAGGAAGACTGCCTCCAGTTTGAGGTCAGCCTGGATGACATAGTGAATTCAAGGTTCTGGGTTCAGTCCCCAGTACTGGATAAAAAAACCCCACTGAAACTATTGTTCTCAGATGAATTACATCCAGCCAGCGGGGCAAAACTCCAAGAAGTAATGTCCCTGAAGGTTCTTTGAAACACAATTTCTTTCCACTGCATTTGGCACCAAAGTGGTAAAAGGGCACAACCCAGATATTTCATTTCCTCAAAGCTGCCCTACTTTTCTAGAATGTATGTTTAATATTTGTTTTTTCTATTCCATAGAAAAATTCAAGGAATAAAGATGTATTATCATATTAGATGATAATTTACCTTTTTGTGGAAATCTATTTTTAACATAGCAGGTACTAATAATTCAGGCCTTAGTCTTTGCCTACATACCTTCTCTTTTGTATGCATTAAAAATTAATAACACAGGGGGCCAGGGAGATAGCTCAGTGGAATAAGTGTTTGCCTGGAAAGTACAAGACCCTGAGTTCGATCCCTGGTACCACCAGAAAAAGAGAGAGAGAGAGAGAGAGAGAAACTTTCTTCAGAGTCCTGAATTCAATCCCTGGTACTGCAATAAATAAATAAATATAAATAAATAACAGCCAGGAGTGGTGGTGCACGCCTGTAATCCTAGCACTTGGGAGGCCGAAGCAGGAGGATTGCTGAGTTTGCAGCCATCTTGGGCAACAAAGTGAGTTCAAAGCCACCCTGAACTGCATAGTGAAAGACCCTGTCTCAAAAAGACCAAAAAAAAAAAAAAA